CCCCCCCCCCCCCCAGCAGCCGGGGGACAGGGGGAGCAGAGCCGCAGCAGCAGCGGGGTGCTGCGCCTCTGAGGCTTTGCTCTGGCAAAGTCTCAGAAGCACGGGACCCCCCCCGCTGCTGCAGGTTTGCTTACAGTGTCCCTGGTCTGCTGGAGACGGTCCCAAGCAGACCAGGGCACCGGGAGCAGCTTTTCTCGCCCCGGAGCTCGAGGTGGCTGATCGCTGCCTGTGAGCTCCGGGGCGAGAAAGCCCCGTTTGTAAGTGCGGATCCGACTTAAGTCGGATCCGTGTAAGTCGGGGACTGCCTGTACTCCAAATTATAAAAGAGTTTACACACGAAGCCAGAAAAGCATTTCTAAAATGAAGATTTTTTTGCTTGCAGAGGAAACTCACAATTATAGTTACATTTTAATATACATGCTATTGGTATACTGACTTAATTGTTAATAAATGTCTCAAGTGTTCATTTTCATATAGTCTTTTGGCTTTAGTATGACCCTGTGGATGAGAAGTTACGATATGTCAGGGATTTGGGGCTGGAGCCTCTAAACTCAAAGTGGCCTGCCCAGAACTATATTACTTAGGTTGGTTACACAATAGGCACACCTTCATACTCACCAGTAAATCAAAGACAGTTGCACATATATGGTTCTGGGGTCATAGCAGCATAGGAGTTCTTGGCTTAAAACAGTAGGAATAGTACTCTTGCAAATTATTGCCAAGTAAAGTTTTCAAGCCCTGAAGACCTTATCAGAGCATGAACGACAAATGAATAATACCTAAAACTCAGGAACATAAAACATATTGGGCACAATATACAGAAAAAACAAACCAAAATGCAAAGTTTCCCTCATACTGTCAAAATAGTTGATATAATAAGCTCTCTTTACATTATCTTATAAAAATGGGTGGATCTCAGTTAATTTGTGCTTTGATGCAATTGTCTCAGATTTTATTCTAGGTCTTCAGCTTGTCAACAGTCAGTTGACTAACTGTAGGATTCAGTGACTTTACAAACTCTGCTCTCTCCATAGAGCAGTCTCCCTAAACAACCTAGAGATGTTAAAATATGTTAATTTTTATAAACATATAATTGCTGAAATTTACAATGTTTACCTGTGGGGGCCCAGGCAGGAGCTGGTGCTCATGGGGAGCCAGCCTCCTGTAACCGTTAGGGTTAGCCAATGAACCCAGACTCATCAGTTAACCAAATACACAGGTACACATTAGCATTCCTAAAACAACTTATATCATGCACTCTGCGTCCCATCTCCCTTTGCGTCATTCCTGTTCAGACTCTCTTCTACAACAGGGACTCTCAAGCTTCATTGCATCGAAACCCACTTCTGACAAAAAATATCACTACACAGCCCCAAGGAGAGGATAGCAAAGCTTGAGCCCCACTGTCCTGGGAAGGAGGGACCAAAGCTGAAGTTACAAGGGCTTCATTCCCAGGCAGGGGGTTGTAACCTGAGTTCAAACACCCTCAGGATTCAGCTTCTGCCCCAAATGATCAGGTTCAGGCTTTGGTCCCAGACCCCAGCAAGTCTAAGCTAGGGATGTTAAATGGCATTTAATCAGCTAATCAACTAGTCAGTTAGTTAATAAGGAAGGGAAACTGCAGAGCCGCAGTGGCTCCAGGAATCAGCTGTCCCAGCTCGCGCCTGGTCCCCCCTGCTACTTATGCTTTTTAAATGTCTTAAGAGCCACCACCTCTGCCTCCCCTATCCCTCATTGAGATGGTGCTGGGGGGGGAACTGGCTTAAAAGCCAGCTCTCCCCAGCACCTGCTCCCCCACCTTGCTGCCTCTCTCTGACAGAGGCAGCAAAGGGGGGGAAGCATATGCTTATTGGATTGTCAACTAGTTGGTTACATCCCCACTCTAAGTTAGCCCTTAAAATGGGACGTGACCTATCGTTCAAGAACCAACGTTCTAGAATCTAACCTCAGAAAAACAACAAAGCCACATTCTAGAATACCACCTTGAAAACCCCTAGATCAGGGCGGGGAACCTTTTTTGGGTCAGAGACCACTAACCCTCAGAGATATCTTCTCATACAAAAGTGAGAAGAAAAACAAACAAAAAACGAGACATGCGCACACAAAAATTTTATAAAACGCCTTGATGTGGTATGATGTTCTATTTTTTTATTTAGAATTTTAGTGTGATGGCTGAGTTTGCTTTTTGCAGGGAAAGA